GATTATTAGTTATTAAAAATGAAAATATTAAAAACGAAATCATCATTAATATAAACTTCGAAGGATTCAGACTTTCAGCGATTCCACCTTTTTCTATTTCACTCGAGAGGTTGCCAGATTGTGCGACAAATGTGAATATTTTACATGGATTTGAATTGGGAAAAGTGCTAAAAAAGCAACTTATCTGGCAACAATAGAGTCCGGGAGGGACGAGGGACTGTCTTCCAGGGAAAACCCATGATTTAGCCGGAAATGTCATTAAAACAATTGATTCCGTTTGAAGCATCAATTGTATACTAGGGGAAAGCTATTTGAAAATAATAATTGTAAATGGACCAAGATGCTACAAAAAAGGAACAAGGAAAGGGCAAGGAAATGAAATGAGGATATGATTACTAATATTCAATCAGAGAGAATAAAACAAAAACATCAGCGAAATTTATATGCGATGAAAATATAAGAAAAAAGCACGAGTGGGCTCATTGCGATTCGGAACTCGAACTATACTATCGTTGAGCAGTTTTTAGACCCCTACGCCACCGATAATCTTCTTAAGAGGTAAAGATGAACTTTTGCTACTTCAGCGAGTCAAATCGCGGAAGGAGATCCATGGATTATCTTTTTCCGCTACCCGAAGGGATGACGTCCCAATCAAATGCGTTTTTAAAGAAATGATCGATCCCCATCATCGCTTCATCTCCACACATCTATTCATGTGTAAATGATGGCACGCTCCGGCAACAAGGTTCTGTGACGAAATCATTTTTGCCTGCAGAGTCTCCAAAATGTATCCATCTTAGTGATCAAATGTTCAATCACTGAGAAAATGGCTCGCGTAGCGAGCCGAATGTCAATCGCGTAGCGAGGGATCGGGGTCCAGGGTGCGCAGCCCCTCGGCTGGCCGTTCTGGACGCGCAAGTCCAGTACGGCTAGTAATATAATAAATATAATATATAATACAATAAATTATAATATATTAAAATACATTATTAATAATAATATTCATTTTTCATTCATTTATATACATACATATGAGTCGTTTTTACAGCGCTCTTCGGCGCTCTACGACGCCCAATCGCCACAAAGCTCGGTCTTCCCACAGGTCATCAGGGAGTTGACACTCCCTCATCTCACTCAACACCCCCTGTCGCCAACCTCTCACTGGGCGTCCCCTACGTCTCCTCCCAGGAGGAACCCAATCAAGCATCTTTCATTTATATTATTTATTTATATTACTAGCCGTTCTGGACCCGCTTTGCGCGTCCGTCAGAGCCAGCCGAGGGGCTGCACCCCCTGGACGCCGATCCCTCGCTACGCGATTGACATTCGGCTCGCTACGCGAGCCATTTTTCTCAGTGATTGAACATTTGATCACTAAGATGGATACATTTTGGAGACTCTGCAGGCAAAAATGATTTCGTCACAGAACCTTGTTGCCGGAGCGTGCCATCATTTACACATGAATAGATGTGTGGAGATGAAGCGATGATGGGGATCGATCATTTCTTTAAAAACGCATTTGATTGGGACGTCATCCCTTCGGGTAGCGGAAAAAGATAATCCATGGATCTCCTTCCGCGATTTGACTCGCTGAAGTAGCAAAAGTTCATCTTTACCTCTTAAGAAGATTATCGGTGGCGTAGGGGTCTAAAAACTGCTCAACGATAGTATAGTTCGAGTTCCGAATCGCAATGAGCCCACTCGTGCTTTTTTCTTATATTTTCATCGCATATAAATTTCGCTGATGTTTTTGTTTTATTCTCTCTGATTGAATATTAGTAATCATATCCTCATTTCATTTCCTTGCCCTTTCCTTGTTCCTTTTTTGTAGCATCTTGGTCCATTTACAATTATTATTTTCAAATAGCTTTCCCCTAGTATACAATTGATGCTTCAAACGGAATCAATTGTTTTAATGACATTTCCGGCTAAATCATGGGTTTTCCCTGGAAGACAGTCCCTCGTCCCTCCCGGACTCTATTGTTGCCAGATAAGTTGCTTTTTTAGCACTTTTCCCAATTCAAATCCATGTAAAATATTCACATTTGTCGCACAATCTGGCAACCTCTCGAGTGAAATAGAAAAAGGTGGAATCGCTGAAAGTCTGAATCCTTCGAAGTTTATATTAATGATGATGATTTATCATATTAATAATATAAATTCGTAATATTATTTAATAATTTTTATAATGACTTCCTGGTCCCATCTTAATTGAGCAACATTCTTTTGAATTCAGGCCGCAGATATAAATGAAATTTTATTCAATGCACAAATGTGTTTCGGAAGTACAATAGAAAAAAAGTCTAAAGGAAAACTTACTCACAGAAAAAATATCAACATGGATTTCAAAAATTAATACGACCACAAAGGCAAGAATAAGAAAATCGTCTTTGAACATATCTATGGAACTACACATACAATAATAAGACGCCAACCGAATGTTTCCGACTTTCTCCGAATATATACTGAAAGTTCGGTGCAAATAACCGAAATGATCGATTTCCGTGACCTTAAAAGTTCGGTAAAACCTTACCGAACTCAGTTGGTCGTGTGCTCCAAACGCCTCAATGCCGTTAAGTTAAAAAAAAAACCCAATACCTAGGTTTGTGCCACCGAACAACCGTACACCGAAGGGTTCGGTAAAAATCACCGAACCTTTTACTTTCTCGCTCCCCTAGGGTAGAGAGGAAGTATTGTCATCCTCCAAGAAAAAAAAAAAAGTTGAAATTTCATCATTTCCAGACGTTTTAAGGTCCCAAGAGTCAAAATAACCGTACTTGAAAAAATGTGTGTCCGTCCGTCCGATGTCCCCCAAATCTGTGTAAAGCGATATCTCAGAATTTATCTGTTCGATTTCATTCAAAATTCTCACAGAACACCATATCTATGGTCTCCTTATGCACGTCAAACGATTTTGAGGTACGCTAAAATTTGGGGGGGGGGATACGCTAAAGTGTCCATTTTTAGCAAAATCACACGGAAAGCTCATTTTGAAAGACTGTAAATTTTGAAAAATGCCTGTAATTCTTTAACAATGGGCATCAAGCACATCATCTGGGTCATTAATTTAAGTTCCTAAAATATCTTTGCACTAAACTCAAAATTCAAGGGATTACGAGGCCCAAAAGTAGGGCGCTTTGCTCCGCGACATCACAAACAGCTCATTTTCAAGGACTGTAAATTTTAGAAAAAAATGCCTTTAATTCTTCGAAAGTTACCATAAGAGCACCATCTGGTTCATTTATTTAAGTTCGTGTGAGGTCTTTGGACTAAACTAAAAATTGAAGGGTTACGCGTCATGTAGCGTGGAGAGCACTTCGGTCAGAAGGAGAGCTCATGGACGGTAGATTTTGAAAAAATGCCTTTAATTCTTTGAAAGTTGGCTCAAAAGCACCACCTGAGTCATTAATTAAGTTCCTAAAGGATCCTCGGACTAATCTTATAATTGCAGAGGGGCCGATAGGAAACGCTCAATTCTCCGATAAATGAGTCGGCACGCTCCTAGATAATAGCAGCAAACGCTTTGAGTCAGACGAAACCTAGGAATTCAAATGCATTATATAATGCATCATATACTATCTCCAAAATTACTCCGTAGGTATACACCAAGCAAAATTAGACAACTAATTAGGTACTTACATTACATACTATGAATCATCAAAGCTAACGCAAGAACTTAGATCTTTATTAGAAACTAATATGTTTGTTGTTAATGAATTTAGAATCCCGGCAGATTCCATCTTTCGCGGTTCCTTTTTACGAGGTACTGAACACAAATATAATATAATAAAACTGCACAAACATAATTATTGACAATAAAGCGTGTTATAACCCGTCGAGGTTTGTTGAAGTTTGTTGTTGTTGTTGTTTACATACACGGGGTTACGACAGGTTACGAGCAGCAAGAAGGTGGCGCTCTCTATTGTTTTCGTTTTGAATTACGGGGATACGTGCTAAGGAACTGGCGCTCTTGGCGGGCGGGTGGTGAACCATTACCAGCAGGTAGGTAGATTCTCCCGCCTTTAAAATTTGGGCGATGCTAAGCGAAAACCGTTTAGTTTTAAGACTATTTAAACATCAAATAGTCATTCTACCCATTAAATTAGATTTTTGATGGCTTTTGACCGTGCTTAAGGAAATATTATAATATATAATCGTATCTGAAGTATGATGCCAATGAATCTAATGGATCCTAATGAATCGTAGAAAAGCTAAGATTTTTACACATAGCCGTCTTTAATAGGAGGCATCATTAATCAATTACATATTTAATTGAAGATGCCTCATAATATCGACAAGTCGAGTCCGAATATATGAATTCATCACATATCTCGAAGACATTCACAATAAAGTGCAGTGGTTTGAATAAAAATTTCATAACTATTATCCTGCGATCAAAATTCCAATCAAACTTTATGATTTTGTGAAATTGGCAGTATTTTTCTAAATATTCCAGCAAAAGCGAGAAAGTATTGTGCGATCTTCGCACCATGATGCCCCCCCCCCCCACATGCCGGCAAGAAGCGCCGGGCATAAATTGGCCGGAGGCCAATTTTTTTTCAGTGCAATGATATGTTCCTATGATGGAACCAACAGATACCAAACTTTACATCAACTCTTTATCATGATTGTAAGAAAGTCCAAATTGATATCATCATGTTACCATATTTGTGCAATGTTGTTAACAACATTTTTTTTAAATCATGTTTATATCATATTGGGACTTGCCATATTGCTAGCGTGTTGGTCTTTTACCCCAAGTTGATTTCACGTTGATACCATGTTGACATCATCTTGATACCAACATGGGCATTTTAGACCATGTTGGTAACAACATAGTCTCAATATGTTACCAACATGTTCATTTTTAGCGGGGTGTTGTCGAAAGTGACAGTCAACAATTCCTCCCGTTTGTGCGTGGAGAATATCCATGTGGATTTTAAATACGATTGGAATCGGTAAGAATGAAGAAGAGTCGTAAAAATATTGCCAAAACTTACCATCTTTAGGAATATTGGTCGCTCTGTGGAAACGAACATTCTCGAAAATTACAGGAACCTCGGTGTACAGCTCACCTCGCATTAAACCTACTGTCTCCCAAGCAAGGGCCTTTGAAATAAAATTATTTTTTGTTTTACTTTTTTTATGTACAAACAAAAAAAAAGGTTCAGAAAAAGGAGAGAAAGAAAATGAAAAAAAAAAGAGAAATTGAAACACTGCGACATTTTAAGATTTGCACATGACTCATTATGTTGTCTGATACTTTGGTTGCATTATACTCATTGTCTAGTAAACTGATGAATTTGAGGGCGAAAAGTTTACTTTAACCTACAGTTTGGCCCAAGTGAGTAAAAAATCAGCGTGGGACTAAAAATTGACATGATGAATCCATTTCTCATTAAATTTTAGATATAGAGTCTACTTTTAAGAAATACTTTAATTTGGCCATTTAATTATGTTGTGCGGGCGCAAAATTCAAAAAAATAAACTATTCAAAATTTTCAGTTGGTTTCAATTAAAAATAATTTACATTTTGACAAAAGTTTTGACTTAAAGATGGTCTGTAAAAGTTGGATATGGTTTTTCAAAATTTTGTTACTTTGATTTGATGTGCATATGATGGGTTGATCTTCAAAAACAACGGAACGGCGAGAGCTAAACCGTGGGGCTCGATTTATACGTAATTTTAGTTGTAGAAGTTGGGGGGGGGGGGCAATTCTAAGATGCCGACCAAATTGGGCCGCCATCTTTTTTCAAGTATACAGGGGGAAAGGCGCTGCTATTCCGCGCTTACTCTTTAGCAATTTAGCCGGTTCTCTTCTAAGACTTATCCCAACGGATAAACACTCCTTGTCCATGTTTGTTTTACCATTCAATTTAATTACTTACTCAGAATTTTAAAGCCTCTCAAGGAGGATTTTAAGTTTCTTGGGGGAGAGGAGAAGGCCCTAGGACCCCCTCCTTCCTACACACACCTCTCCGATGAGCAAAGAACATTCTTAATCTCATATTTGAAATTTCCTATGTACCAAGAAAACCTATTGGCGTCTATTTCATACGGCATATGAAGCCACCTACGGTCATTTTCCCACCATAAAGGCCATTTCGGGCGCCATGCTGGATTTTGCCCCTAACCCCTTCGACCGGATCACCGTTTTAATGTGAATTTGAGGCCACTTTCCCGCCAAGGGGCCCATTTCGGCCGCCATCTTGGATTTGCCCCCCCTTAGGTCGAAGGATTTTTTAAATTCGGAAATTCGGCCCTACAACTAAAATTACGTATAAATCAACACCTTAGTCACGTCTGTAGGAAAATGTATACATACATACGTGTAGTGTTTACATATTTGAATGTGTTTCGCAGGGAAAACAAAGCCAAGAAGTTCCAAACATTATAATTAGATTAAAAAATTAAACTTTTAGACTCTAATTATAATTTTTGGAACTTCTTGGTTTTGTTTTCCCCGCGAAATGGTGTGGACCCAGGACCCAGCGCCATTTCTCAATCTTGTTACGTACAGTTCGAGCCACTTTTTGTTTTTTCACTTACAGGGTGTACCAAAAGTCCGTCCCACCCCTGCTAACTTTTGAGCGAATTGAGCTAGGGTAATGAAACTTTGGGAATGTTCTTATCTCAAAGGGGATCATCTTTTTTTTTTGGGGGGGGGGGGTCAAAATTTTGGGAAAAGTTAAAAAAACGAAATTTAAGGTGATTAAATTTGACCGTTTAAATTTCGTTTTTTTAACTTTTCCCGAAATTTGGGGACTTGCCAACGTAATGTTGAACTGATTTTGACCTTACTGAGATAATGTGGAGGCAAATCCAGAGGAAATTGGCTTATTTCGCAGGAAAATTGAATGACCTTTGAATTGACGTATTTGGGAGTCCGAGCCCCCCCCCTTAAAATTACAGCGAAGTGATTTCTGCAATTTTTACGTAAAAGCGAACACAATTTGGTAAATTTTCCCGTTTTATTTTTTTCTTTACGATAATTTGAAGCGGAGTTATGATTTTTTGAAAATAGGTCAAATTTGACCTTTGACCTATCATAACTTGGTCAAAAATTGAGATATTGATCTGCGGTTTGCGCCAAAATTCTTAAGTTTTTTATGCTCTTTCGAATGAGGTATCACAAGATAGGGGTTGCTTTTTGAAAAAAAAAAGTTGGGGGGCCCCTGTACCCCCTGAGGGGGGGACCAAAATTTTGACCCCCTCAAAAGATGGTCCCCTTTGAGATAGGAACATTCCCAAAGTTTCATTTCCTTAGCTCAATTCGTTCAAAAGTTAGAGGGGGGGTCGGGGACTTTTCGCTCACCCTGTATGTCATGAGAAAAATTTTCGTAACCCGATTTCTTATGAACAGGGAACACAAAATATTCTGTGTTTCCTGTTTATGTATATACTAGGGGGTTACGCCCCCTGATTACACCCTGAAGGCGCCCGGCGCCATCAAGAGGCCGCTTCGCGGCTCTTTTTTGTAGCCACAGCGTTAATAAAATTCATATCTCATGATAAAATGTGTTTAACAATGGAGATGTTGCATGTGTGAGGAATGTGCGATTTGACAAAAGATTCTTTTGTAAAAGTTCGCGAAAAACACGATGGTGCCACTGGTTTTCTCTGAAATCAACTGCCAAGCTCAAAAAAAGCTCCCAAATTGAGACTAAAATGGAGGGGATATCCCATGCTATCCTGAGAGTCCACCTCTACATCAAGACTAACTCTCCATGCAAAGATAGGGAGCAAATACATTAGCAGTGATGCCGTGTTTTCAGTTTTAGAGTCTCCAAATAAAGTGGCAGCCCTGTCAATGTATTTGATCCCTATCTTTGCATGAAGAGTTTGTCTTGATAGAGGTGGACTCTCAGGATAGCGTGGGATATCCAGGGCCGGATTTACCTATAGGGCACTGGGGCACTTGCCCATAGCGGCAAATTTTGGCACTGGATTAATTGAAAGTTAAAGCGAGAAAAAAGGAAAAAATGGAGACAGAGACGGAGCGAAGTGAAAAGATGAGCGGCAAAATGTATGAAGGAAGGGAGTTGACGCTTGACGGGAGCGGCAAAGCTGCCGCCCCTTAGGCCCGGCCTTGAGCGCTAGGATGATCGTTCGTTGGAGTGATACTAAACAACACGGCAATTTGAAACATCAAGGCAGACTTGATAATCAATTTAGACGTCGATGCTCTGGTTGACAGCTTTGCTAAACTGAAAATCCGGAGAAAAACTTTTTAACCTGATCTTCCGAAAATACATTGCAACTAATACATTGAGCTACACTAGCTTCAACTTTGTCTCCACATTTTATTTTTGTCTCATCCATCCATTCCATTTTATATATTCGCGGCGCATTTTGAAGCAGCTACGCGCACGCGCCCAGGCGGCGCACGAGGGGGGGGGGCAAGATGAGATGTCGTGGGAAGTTGGGAGTGCGGAGAGGGGGAGGGGGAGGAGGGGATACTGTTGACAATATAGTGGCGAAATATTGCAGACCCAGGGGCGGCAAAATGTAGCTTGCCCAGGGGCGAAAAAAAGCTAAATCCGGCCCTGGGGATATCCCCTCCATTTTGGCCTCAACTTGGGAGCTTTTTTTGAGCTTGGGAGTTGATTGAGAGAAAACCAGTGGCACCATCGTGTCTCTCGCGAACTTTAACGTATGAATCAACAATCAAATCGCAAATTCCTCACAAATGCAACATCTCCATTCTCTGCAAAACTTTCATGACGGAAGTAGTAAGAGCCTATCGATGGTGTCTAATTTTTCTTCATTTTCATTTTTTTCATTTATCCATTTATACATTTTCTTTTTAAAATTTTCTTTCCTTTTCGATTTTTATCTTTGCGTCTTCCTCTTTCAGCTGCTAATCAATGTTGGTTTCATTTCCCCATTAAAAAAGATACTTCAGTAGGTGTATTTTCCTTTTGAGAACGAAGTGATTTTCGTTTTTGATAAACAAAAAAGAAGAAAAAATTTGAAGTCAAAAGGATGCCTTTCGCAATGATTGATTAATAGATAAAAGCAGTTAAACAACGTGAGATGATTTACAGGTCGTAATAAATAAGCTATACGGACGGGATTCGAACCTACAATACGGAATGGCGTGGAGGTGCACACCTGACGCGCCGTAGATGACTCGGCCACCGCCAATTATGTTTTTAATGAGGTGAATCTCTTGTTCATAGAATAGAGCTAATGCGCAGGCTACACGGCCACTGCGCAACCGTCTCAGCTACTGCGCAGCCTTCTGCGCACACCAGTTGCAGAGCATTCTGTGAATTCGCTCACTTTTATAACGTAATTATAAAAAAACGTGGGTCCTATTTCTAAAATCTGATGAAAGCGGGCTATCTAGATAAAATTGCCTGTCGACAGCCGCAAGAATCATGAAAATCGGTCCGGTAGGACGCTGGAACGAAGCGTTACCAGTTAGGAGGTCTCGGAGCTTATAATATAGATGTATATGCATGTATTTCCGCCTTTTTAAGATTTTTCGATTTTTAAGTAGTTAGGTATATCTTTCTTTCGTTGCAAAATATTTTGACCAATTTTTTCCATTCCGTAGAGGTTCATTAAAGCCACTATTCATGTCTAAGCAAATTGTTTGAGGCAATAGATTTTAAGGGGTCGGGCTCGATAAAGAGGGGAGGTACAATCTTGTCCACTTGACAATTCAAGTTAAAATGAGAAATTTCAGCTGACCTTCTTACGGGTGGTACCTAGTTTTCCCCTAGGACTGGATTGGTACCTATTGAATTTCAGCAAAATCGGCTGAGCCGTATAAAAATGGCGAGCTTTGAACGTTTAAGGCGAGCACAGATTAGTCCAGACCGCTAACATCCAATCTAGCTAATGCTTAGGAAGCGTGAGTAATTTTGCTACAGGTTAGGCAACTTTCGAAAATTGATGGCACTACCAGTAGTGAAAGAACTTGACCGGATCGAGAGAAATTTCCTCTTGAATCTGATTATAAAGCTTTAATAGAGAATAAATAGTAATGTGTGATAACGGTTTTTGCTCAAGTAAGATTTTATCAAGTACTGTTATGCTAAGTATTCTGTTTCAATATTCTTACAACAGTTGGTAGCAATTAACTGCTTTCATGGGGGGGCCTGACGGGAATTCAAAACTAGGAACCAAAAGTCTCATTTTGCTAGGATTTTGCTTTAATTTTCGGTCTCTGAGGCTTTAAACTTCAAAAATATGATATATTACAATCTGGCGGTGAAGATCGATTCACCCAGAATAGATGAGAGATAGACATTCCAAATTAAGGGGGAAAGTGCTGCGTCTTTTAATCTGGAAATATTGAACCACATAAATTCTACTGAGAAACTAATTCTTGAATTCTTCGGAACGTTTCATCCCACAAAAATCTGAAAAAGAAGTATTTTCCCGCCGAAAATCTGCTGCAAATGGCCAAAATTTCAGTTTTGGTTCCTACTTTTAAATGCCCATGGATTTTCCCGCCAACGGCGCTCACAAAACTACTCACGCTCTTCCGCCGATGTCAGCGATCTGGACTAATCTGTGAAGGCGAGGGGGCTGCGCGACATGAGGAAAGCCGCACAGTGGCTCAGGGGGAGAGAGTTTTTGGACAAGCTTATCGTCGCTCAGTGGGTCAGGGAAAGAGAGATTTTGGACAAATTTTTCGTGGCACTGTGGGTCAGGGTAAGAGATCTGTCTTTCAATAAAATCTCACCCTTTTAACCGTTACAACTATTTTCAAAATTCGAAAAAAAGGCTGGAAAAATTAAAAATATTGGTAAATTCCAAGACTCTTGCACCCACTTCGGGAAATACACTTTCCTCCCCGAGGTGGATGCGCGGGTCACTTAATGAAAAGAAGAAACACGACTGAAAAGACGCGCGCGGACGAAGCGTAGCGCCGGTTTTTTTCCTTTTTGCTGGTTAATTCTTTTCTTTTCTATTCTATCAATACTTCGCATAAACTTACAAGGTATCCAGTCGCTGGGTAAAGATTTCGGCCATCAATGACGTGCCCTGACAGATACTCCAGCTCATCATCCTTTAAAGAGATATTCACACTCCGTTCCCCGCTCTTGATCTTTTCCTGCATGCGGTAAGAAGTCACGTACCAATCCTCACTGTGCTCCCATCGGACTAGTGGTGCTATCATAGGAGTACCGCGACTGACTGGTAGTGCAACAGGCGGGTATAACACAGAGAGTTTGGGCGTTAGACCAGCTTCAAATAATCTAAAGGGGGAAATATGGTGAGAAGCAATGATTATAATAATTTAAATTTATTTTGAAAAAAGCGGTAATTACTTTGGTGTCCTAGTAATAGATCCGAAGAGTTGGAAAACTTTGAGGTGCATAAATTATCATCAACTAGCTGCTTCAGCTCGCTACGCTCGCTTGCGCCGCTAGCCGGGGGCAAGCCCCCTGGAAATGTAACGGTGCGAAAGGGTGAAGATAAATCACCAATTCTCTTGGAAGAAGACATGAGCCGACCCCCGACATGAGTGAAACTGCCGTAGGACCCATGCTAGGGTAGAAGGGTGACACGTGTTGTGAGCAGGTAGGGATGGGTTTACGTGGAGAGGGAAACGGAAAATCAGAGGGTGAGAGGTCCCCCAACCATATGACTCGTCCAGCGTCAAAAACGCAAATATGTCGTTATCAAATCGAGGTAAATTTTGCAACTTCGGTCGCGCAAATCGAAAAACGAAGGGGTCTTGGCACATCTAGACCCTATGAGCTTTCATTTAAAACAAATCCGAGGAAAATCTGTCGAGTAGTTTCTGAGATCGAATTAGCACAAACTGTCCAGCGTCAAAAATGCAAATATGTCGTTATCAAATCGAGGTAAATTTTGCAACGTCGGTCGCGCAAATCGAAAAACCAAGGGATGTTGGCACGTCTACAGCGTAAGAGCTTTCATTTAAAACAAATCCGAGGAAAATCGGTCCAGTAGTTTCCGAGATCGAATTAGCACAAACTGTTGGAGGCCAAAAAAGGCCTTAGGATATTAAATATATAGATGATGCCAGGTTCAAACAATGCGGGCAGCCACTCGTTCCCAAGTAGCAGTGATTGCGATAGATAGCGATTTTATCGGTTGATTATCGCGATTATATCGGGGGCAATTTGTCGCAATATTATCGAATGAAAAATTGCGATTTATGGCCGTTAAATCACTAGGTATGCATCGCAATTTTTTGTTCGGCAAAACCGCGATCAATTTTTGTGGATAAAATCGAGATTAAATCGCCATATATCGCGATAAATTGCCGGGCAATATAAATCGTGATTACATTGCAAGATCGAGGACAATCGCTCAAATGTTGATGATCCTAGCGATTTTATCGCCGATAAAATCGCAATAAATCGCGATTTTTCCGTAGAAAATTCTACTTGGGTTAGATGCCAGCAACATATATGTTGTTGACATCTAACCGAACTTGCCATCATTGATAATCTATGCACCAAAGTTTTTTATCGTGTTAGATCTCTTACTAGGTACAAAAACACCAATTTTTCGACACTTTTCCCCCTTCAATCACTTACAGCAGATTATTGCTGTCTGAAGAGTCAGTGCTCATGAAACATTCTGGACACACGCACTTCATTGAAAACTCTATATGCCACGGACAACTGAGAAGGTATTTAATTCGCAGGCACCTTCGTGCAATCGTTGTAAATTCGTAAATTCTCGATCAAATCTGCTGAACTTGGGCTTGTCTCAAAGCTCATGAGTCAAGCTAGGGCATCCCTTAAACCATAAATCGATATATTTTGTGGTTCTACGGAGCAAGGTCAATGGACGATTGTTTTGGGGTATGTACCTCCCGTTCTAATCCGCCCGAATGATTGGGGCACTATAGTTTACCCTAAGTACTAGGTGGTAAAAATTTTAATAGGTACTAACTTGCCCAAAGAATTAAAGAGAACATGAGCATTGTCTTTATGATCTCGCTGCGTTAACGAAACAGATAAAATATCCTTTGACAGTGATCGTTTCAAAATGGCTTGAAGAAGACCATGAGGAGCGATTTCAATCAAAATAGCTCGATGTGGTATCAGACGACATGCTTCCTCGAAAAGAACAGGACGCAATAAGTTGTTTGTGTGGTACTCGGCGGAGGATAGCTTCGCCAATGATGAGTTCCATTGCGATTCGGGCAGTGAAGTACTTATCCATTTTTCAGAGCGTGCTTTTGGGCTTGGAATCACCTGCTCACAGAAAAGATGAAAAAATAGAAGAAATCACACCAATTTTGAGAACTAAACTTCAGTTGCTACATGCTATCGAAATAAAACGACATTCGCGTAATCTGCTAGCACCACTACCTAGGTATGCAAATAAAAATAATTCGGAAACTATTAGCCCGAGTTCAGCTGAAAGGATTCAACTAACATTTTGAGAAAAATTGAGTAGATGGACTTTCTCACCGGTCTGTCATCTATCTCCATGAAAATTTTAAAATCCAAAAACAGTGCCTGTAGAAGATGATAATTGAAAATATAGGTATTGAATAAGAATATCTCCAACATTAACTTTTCTAGAGAACTAAAATTTTTAATCTCTCTTTCTATCATAGAATAATATTTAAAACGCCGGCTTGGAGTGCTACAGTTTTCCCCTCCGCCCCCTCCCAAGAAAACGGCACGGAAGAAATGACATTTTGAGCAGGGTTTTGCCTCAAGGACACTGAAAAAAAGATTGGTGGAATTAACCATCCCTTCACGCTGTGTGACATACAGCGTGAAAGAATTCTACCAATCTTTTTTTTCAATCTAATGATTTGAAAGTATTGTGTCAACGGAATTCAACAAATTTTTGACAAATCCCAAGTAGCATTTCGCAACGAAAAAATTGCAATTTTAATGAAATAAAATTTCCGGATGATTTCAACTTTTTTGCAAGAAAATTTCAATTATTTTACAACATCTGACCCCCTCATTGTAAAAAAGTTGCAATTTTTTTGCAAATAAATTTCAATATTGACGACCTTTAAATTTCAACCCCTACATTTTCCAGCGGCCAGGGGCGGACCCCCTGGTGTGTGTGTTAAAAATAAATAAAACTTGTGTAGACGCAATGCGGCGTATCCTAAAACCAAGAGCAAGAAGCAGGATTCGAACCCAAGTTCGTCGGGTCGGTGGGCGAACACTCTACCGCTCGGCCACCGGGAATGTGATATTGGTGGCCGGTCAAGTCGGTAAATAGACATCGCGCTTCGTGCGGCTTGCCGGCGCTCAGTTGACTCGCCGGGACTCCGCGCGGAAACGTGCAAAAAGCGTAACTTTAAAAATTGATATCTCGAAAACGGTTGGGAAAAAATAAAAAAAATAATAATAATAATAATAAATAAATACAAATAAAAATAAAAAAAAAAATACAATAAAAATTGCTTCATTTAAAATTGAAAAATTTCACTCCTCAAATTAAGAGAGAGGGAGGGAGAGCAGGGAGAGGGAGGGGGAAGGAAGTGAGGAGAGTGAGAGAAAATGACACTAAAAATTAAATTTCAACATAATGTAAATTCTTTCATTCGCGCGAAACTATCGGCTACTCAAAAACGAAAAATAAAAAAAAAATTTAGAAAATATTAGGTGAGACATTTACGTCGGAAAAACTTTAAAACAACTAGAAAATTGGATGCCAGGCACATGGCGTGAATTTGTTTCAACATGATTGCACCGAAATTGCAGTCTTTATAGTGCCTTGAAAAAGAAGGTTAGGCAACAAGCATAACCTACACTTTTTGCAAACTCATTCCAATAAAATTGCAACTTCCTCAGCGCCTTCAAATGAACGTATAGGCAACAAGCAAAAATTGTAATCAACTCACAATCCATTGCAATGAAATTGCAATCCATGCTACTTGGGATGTTTTGATAATGGTAATAGAGCGCGATCGTGAAAGTGGATAAATGTTTCGACAAACCTTATATTGAGAGGCTTTTGTCGTAAAAAATTTCGTGGTCCCGAAACCTACCCACCCCCCCTTTGGAGGTAAAGAGGGGGGGGGTCACGATGGTAAAAGTCACGGTTCCCGACCGGATTGCGGATTAATTGCATCAGAATTGAAGACGGTTTCTGCCCAAAAGGGCGGGTAGCGGAGCTTAGGGACCATGAAATTCAGAGTCCTCAGGGTCGATTACCCGGAAAACTGTCTTTTTCTGGAGAATCGACGTCAATTTTGCGACCGAAGAGGAATCTTGAGAAAGTTTTGGAGGGGGCGAGGCCCCCCTCCTCAGGGGTTACTTTCTGCCGTTCAGGGGGGGCCGGTTCAGGGGGGTCAATTAAAACTCTTGGGGGTCACTTAAGATGCAAAAGTGTTCTGCTCCTCAATTTGGATGCAATCAATTTGCGATTCGGAAAGGAGCCCCGATTTTTAAAATTGGACTCCCCGTTTACCCCCCAAGAGAGGCTGGAGGAGCTTCGGGACCATGAAATTTGGATTTCTCGGAGTCGATTACTTGGGAAACCATCTTTTTCTGGAGAATCTACGTCAATTTTGAGATCAAAGAGAAATTATGGAGGGGGGCACTGTCCCCCTCTTTTGGGGGTCATTTTTGGGCCTTGGATGGGCCGATTATGGATTATTAGGGGTCAACTTCACGTGAAATTTTCCGTGCTCTTCAATTCTGATGCGATTAATCCGCAATTCGGTCGGAAACCGTGACTTTTACCATCGTGACCCTCCCCCTTTACCTCCAAAGGGGGGGGGGTAGGTTTCGGGACCACGAAATTCGGATTCCTTGGGGTCAATACCCTATTCAACCCCGCGGTCCCCGACTTCGTACGACCTAAAACAACCGAGAAAAAGGTCTGGTACGGGTGGTCTGAAACACCCTGTATTTCCGGTCACAGAAGAAGTGTACTTATGATTTTTCGGAATAATAATGATTTCCATTACACAATGCGCTGGAGTGTTACACATCACCAATTATTCCATAAAACCCCCGAAAATGGGGTGGGGGGGGAGGCTGAAAATATTTTTATTGAATTCTGTGGGGTTGATTCACTGTAGAAAAATTTCCGTCCTGATGCTTAATTTTTGGCCGTTTCCGAGAAAAAGTTAGTGGACGGATGGTCGGTAACACCCGTTGTATTAAATTAGAGTGGAGATTCCACCACGGGAAGTCACAGACTCCAAAAAAGTAGAACCTATGTGGATGCATCCTGATGGAATCCATTTCATACATACTGGAAAAATCCAATATATTGCATGAAAAAGCGTCAGTACGGATCCAACTTATACAGGATGACCCAAGAGGCTTAGGACATTTTCTGTAACTGTTAAACGAATTGAGATTCATATGGGCTTGAAATTTTGACAGAGTGCTCCTGTGTCAAAGTAAACTACTTTTTGGCCTCCCAAAATTTTTATGGTTCCGTCTGAGGGGCGGGATGGTGGAGCTACGAATCCTACCTGTTTTTTTTTCAATTGACAACCCCTATTTATGACGTATCGTTGGATAAGTATTGAAAAAAGACAATTTTTGGCATAAATTCCGGGTTGACATCTCAATTTTAAACAAAATTACAGCCATAAAACGACGGGAAACCAGTTTTGAAGGGTTTTTAGAGGTTTTTACCGGAAACCTAAAACCCACGGGTTACTTAACTCGAGAAAGACGAATTTGAGATCAGGTTATCAACCTGATGTCAACTTCTTCTTTTCTTGTGTCAAATAACCCTGAAATACAAACATCCAGGTTTGTTCATAAGCAAAAACTCCTTAAAACCTTTCTAAACGGGTTTCCCGCCATTTTAATCGGTCGCCATCTTGATAGGGCTTTGAAATTTGGATAATCTGATGTGAAATTCGTCTTTCTCGTGTCAAATAACCCCACGATAACAGATTTTCGGTAAAAACCTCTAAAAACCCTTCAAAACTGGTTTACCGTCGATTTTTGGCCGTCACGAAATTTGTCAACGCTGTCAAAATTTCAAGTCTATAGCTATTTCAATTCGTTCAAAAGTTACAGTGGTGTCCTACTTCTGGGTCACCCTGTATATTTAACATGGATTCCACCTCACAATAGAAAAATAGAAATAATACTAAAAATGTGGACGTATTTCTACCAAACAGATTTACAGGGTGTCCCAAAAGTCCGTACCTCCTCGTAACTTTTGAACGGTTAGAGATAGAAAAACGAAACTTTGGGAATGTCTCTATCTTAAAGGGGACCATCTTCTAGGGGGGGTCAAAATTTTTGTCCTCTCTTCAGGGGGGGGGGGGNAAATTTCGAACAAGGTTTTTTAAAAAAACGACATTTAAGGTGATTCAATCCAACCATTTAAATTTCGTTTTTTTTAAAAACTTTGTTCGAAATTTCGGGACTTGAAAACGAAATGTTGAACTAATTTTGAACTTACCAAGATAATGTTGAGGCAAAGTAAGGGGAAATTGGCTCATTTCGCGGGAAAAGCGTATGACCTTTAAAATGACGTATTTGGGGGTCCAAAACCCCCCTTAAAATTAGTTTGAAGTGATTTCTGTGATTTTTACCTATAAGTGCTTACAATTAGGTAAATTTTCCCGTTTCATTTCTTTCTTTACGATAATTTGAACCGGAGTTATGATTTTTAGAAAATAAGTCAAACTTGACCTTTGATCTATCATAACTCGGTCAAAAGTTAAGATATTGATCTGCGGTTTGCGCCAAAATTCTTAGTTTTTTATGCTCTTTCTAATGATGTATCACAAGATAGGGGTCATCATTTGAAAAGAAGTTGGGGGCCACCGCCCCCCCTGAGGAGAGGACAAAAATTTTGAACCCCCCTAGAAGATGGTCCCCTTTAAGATAGAGACATTCCCAAAGTTTCGTTTTTCTATCTCTAACCGTTCAAAAGTTATGAGGGGGGGGTACGGACTTTTGGGACACCCTGTACGTGCAATTATCAAATTTTCCGGTTGAGCAAGTTTTGCAAAAATCATTGGCGTTTCTTCTCGAATGAACCAATTATGAATTTCTGTGGCTTATTTGAAGGCCGAGGAGCTCCTCTAACGATATAAGTTGTCTAAGCTTCTAACAAATTCAAAAGTTACCTACCTACCTAACTAAATTTTGCGAAATAAAGGGAAGATTGCACATAGCTCCGTTTGACTTAATGCGATAACCGCGATACCTACTGCGTTCTGTCAAACGGAACTATGCGCAGGCAAATACATTCTATGCCGGCATTCTTAGCTCCTGTTGAAACAATCTTAGTTTTT